ATCTGCCAACTTCAAAATGAGACTCGAAAACTCAGTACATGAAACAAACATACACAAATCATTGAGCTCTAGCAACTGGCTCGAGTGCTTCAACAGTGACCACGCTGTTTCCCCTGATGACCTGCAAAAACAAAATAGGACCAAAAAACAATTAAACTCAATGGTCATTTGCTGAACCAAATATGCGAAATTAACCGGCAAAAAATTTAGATACCGACCACCATGCCTATGTCGGTTTTTTCATTCCCATTAACTTCCACAGTATTGTCAATCACCAGGTTCATGAACTGATCAAATCCACGGAGGGTCCCGATTACCAAACGGTTCGCGTTGAGCTTTACTGAAATGTTATCACAAATTCCAATCTTTCTTTAATAATATATCATCATCAACTAAAGGGTAGCACATATAACGATCAGACGAGTACAGAAAATGTCATAAACATACTGGGATCATGAGTTTTTAAAACAACTTAGAAAATTGTAGCCGTTTGTGCCAAACAAATTGCTAACAAAAATATGATCCGCAAGAAGTACAGTTTCAAAAAAGTTTTGATCATGAGTTTCCATTGTACTTTAGAGCAAAACGTGACCGCTTATGCCAATTAAATTCACTAACAAAAACATAATCATAATTTTTCAAAGTAGTTTTGATCATGAGTTTTCCAAGTACTTAGATTAAAACATGGCACAAACGGATCCCTATCGAAAAAACATAATCCACGGGAAGTATGAGTTTCAAGAAACATTATATCCACATGGGTAATCAGCTCAAACAGGCATTATACAAATGTTAGAAACCAGCTGCACTAGAAAACATGGGTCACGCAAGAATAACAGTCTGTTAGGTCAAACTAACCATAAGGCCAATATACTTTTTTTCACAAAATATTTACACTTTTGTTAAAAATAGCATAGATTGAAAACAAAATAACCTCAAAATATGACATTTCATTATATAAGTATGCATTTTTGTTTACATAGTACAGCGGGTCGACCCACCTAAGGTTAGGCCGTCTTACGCAAGAATTCGTGAAATAAATCAATAATTTAAAAATCACCGTAACATTAATTCAAGGTTAGACATATTGTGCGATGTAAAATTGAACAAGTAACTGACTAAAAGATGTTCTTCGACCAACTCACAGAACCTTGAAACTCTCGACACATATCAACAATTATTATGTTAAAAAAACATGAAAGAACATGAGGAAATAACTGAGAACTCACTCTGTAGCTTCTTGTCCATGTACCTGCCATTGACGAGCAAAAGGGGGGAAAAAAGAATATAAAAAGCGTGAAATTAAGAACAAATGCCATTTTTTCAAACAAAAAATGAATAAAATAAAATGCGGACGCAAAAAATAGATAAAAAATACTAACTTTTTGAGATCCGGAGGCTGCCCTGATCTGCTCATGGTGAAACCCTAGAGGAATTTGACGATGGGTTTATCGCTCTGCAAAACCCTAGAAATTTGATTGGGGACGATGAATGAGGTAAAAGACTCAAGTCCGGCAAGTTCGAATTATTTGAAGGCTTTTTAGCTTGCCATTAAATGGGCCAGACCGTTACTTGGGCTAATCTTTCTCGGACCCATTGTACTTTCAATCACACGACGAATATACCTTCTATTCGATTTATGGGAAATGTTAAGGTCCGTTACGGAACCATTCCGTCGAATTTTGTAACCGTTAGATTATCATATAACCGTTAGATATAGTTGATCTAACGACTACAAACCCAGACGAAATGGTTCCGTAACAAGACCGTAGCATCTTTTTCGATTTATACTTGTTTGGAAATGAAAGAATATTTCCTCCTTGAATTGTCACAACATACATAGACTTTGATTTGATTAGTGTTAACATATAGGTTAATTGAATATTTGCAATAGGCATAGTTGTTATTTGTAATAGTTGTTATTTGTAATAGCACCTTTAGTATTATTTTCCTTTAGCACCTCTTCATTGTTAACACTATATATACCTTGTAACAGCAAACCCTAAACAAGTTGTTGTCATTTTATTTTTCGATCTTATACAGAAATCTTTCCTCTCTCTCATTCTCTCGTTCTTCATCTTCAATCTCCAATCTTCATCTGATTCTCAATATCTAACATGGCTCTTAAACTCTGTACATAAGGACATTAGACAATCATTGCTCTTCTTTTCTGTTGCACAAGATGTATGGGAAGAGATTAAATCTCGTTATGCTTTGTCTAGTGGTCCTAGGGTTTTCCAGTTGGAAAAATCTCTCAGCACGATTGATCAGAGTAACATGTCCATTACTCAGTATTTCAATGCTTTCAAAACTCTTTGGGATGAATATGTGACATATCGCCCAATTTTCAAATGTGTTTGTGGTGCATTTAATAACTGTTCTTGCAACATTTTTGAAGCCATGACAAATGCTCAACAACATGACTCTGTGATGAAATTTTTAATTGGCTTAAATGACTCCTACTCTTCATTAAGAAGTCATTTCTTACTGTCTACACCTCTGCCATCACTCACTACTGTGTATTCCCTACTGTTGCAAGAAGAAAGCCAAAGATCTCTAACCAACAACACCAAAACACTTGAACCCCTTGCTATGCTTGCAAAAACCAACAATCCATCCCATTTCAACAAACAAACCAAGTCCAACTTTTCTAAAGATAAACCTAGACCAAAATGCACTCATTGTGGACACCTAGGTCATACTGTTGAGAGATGCTTCCAAATAATTGGATATCCTCCAAACTGGAATGTTCCAAAGGGTAGTAAACCCCACCTATCTGCTCATGCTGTTTTGGCTGAATCTCCTGTTCCACAGAACACTTCATCTAGTGTGTATGACTCTGTGACTAACAGTTTGTTCAATGAGTTTCTAGCCTTTAAGAAATCTCAGGAAAATATTCCACAGTCTGCTCCTGTGGTTGCAACAGCATTTACTGGTAATACAAGTATTTCTAACTCGATGTCTTGTATGGTTTCAAAACATCTATCTGCAAATACTTGGATACTTGATACAGGCGCAACTGATCATATGGTATGCTCACCTAGTTTATATACTTCTCATGTTTCCCCTGTTCACATCCAAATAAATTTGCCTAATGGAAATCATACTCATGCTAAAAATATTGGTACTGTTGCCTTATCACCATCTTTGTTATTACATGATGCTTTATATGTTCCTTCACAGAATGATTGGCTTTGTTGATCTAAAGGATGGACTATATCATCTCAAATTAGATCAATTTTCTGTTTTAGCTAATCATTCTTCTGTTTCTGTTGTTCCTAAAAGTGTACATGTTGCTGAGAATGTAACTTTACCTTTACCTGTAAATGCATCTGAAACTGATACACAGCTATGGCATTCAAGACTTGGACACTTATCTTTTTCTAAGCTGCAATCTATGCATATTTCTGATGCTTCATGCACATCCTCACCTCCATGTGATGTTTGTCATTTTTCTAAACAGAAAAGATTACCTTTTCAAGAAAGCTCCTCTAATTCCAAATTTCCTTTTGAACTTATTCATTGTGATGTATGGGGCCCCTTCTCTGTTATATCTCATTCTGGATACAAATTTTTTCTAACCATTGTGGATGATTTTACCAGAGTTACTTGGATTTATCCACTTATGCATAAATCTGATACTAAACAGCATCTACAACATTCTCACAACATGGTTCTTACTCAGTTTAACACTAAAATCAAATCTATCAGAACTGATAATGGAACTGAGTTCATTCTTAAAGACTTTTTTGCACAAAATGGCATTCTTCATCAATTTTCATGTGTTGAAACACCTCAGCAAAATGCTAGGGTTGAAAGAAAACACCAACACATCTTACAAGTAGCTAGAGCACTTCTATTTCATGCTCATCTCCCATTACATTTTTGGATTGATTGCATAATGAGTGTTGTGCATATTAACAACAGACTCTCAACTCCTGTTTTACAAAACAAAACTCCTTTTGAAATGCTTTACAGCAAACCACCCTCTTATGATCATTTAAAAATTATTGGTTGTCTGTGCTATGCTTCCACTTTACAAAACCACAAAACCAAATTTGACCCAAGAGCCTCAAAATGCATTCTACTTGGTTATCCCTTAGGTTATAAAGGCTATACTCTTTATAACTTAGAAACCAAGAAAACATTCATATCCAGAGATGTTATCTTTTATGAAAATGTTTTCCCATACAAATCTGTTGACAATCAGCAACATCAACAACATACTCCTTTATTTCCTGAACCTTCTGTCTCTTTTCCATTTGAATCTCAACCACATAATACCCATGTCCATCAAACACAAACTCCTATAATTCCCAGCTCTGACATCACAACCTTAATTCCATCTCCTCCACCTGGAAATTTACATTCTTCATCTCCTTCAAATTCCCCAGATAATCCCACACAACCTGCAATCAGAAAATCATCAAGAATATCTAAGCCACCTGCTTATCTTGACATTTACCATCATTCCTTACCCAATACTTCTTCTAACCATGTTGCCAGTTCACCCATTTCTTCAAATATCAATGATACATTTTCAGATAACACTGGAACATCTAAATATCCTATCTCAATTTTTTTATCAACATCATGTCTCTCTGATTCTCATATATGTTTTACTGCATCAATTACCAATGTGACTGAACCTACCACTTATAACCAAGCAGCCAAAGATCCTCTTTGGCAAGAGGCCATGAACAAAGAAATTCAGGCCCTAGAACAAACCAATACATGGTAACTAACTGAACTTCCAAAAGATAAGAACTGTATTGGTTGTAAATGGGTGTTTAGAGTTAAATACAGGTCTGATGGCTCCATTGAAAGATACAAGGCCAGGTTAGTTGCAAAAGGCTACACTCAAGAAGAAGGTATTAATTTCTTTGATACCTTTTCTCCTGTAGCTAAAATTACAACTGTAAGATTTCTTATTGCCTTATCTTCTTTAAAACAATGGCATATACATCAATTAGATGTAAATAATGCCTTTTTACATGGTGATTTACTTGAGGAAGTATATATGAAACCACCCCCTGGTTATGTTGTTCCCACTAAAAACATAGTTTGTAAATTAACAAAAAGTCTCTATGGTTTAAAACAAGCATCAAGGCAATGGTTTCAAAAGCTTACTCAATGTCTCTTAGATTATGGTTTTACTCAATCTATAGCTGATTGTTCCCTTTTTTATATGTCTTCTTTTGGTTCTTTCACTGCTCTGCTTGTATATGTAGATGATATAATCATTGCTGGTAATAATCTCAGTCATATTCAGTCTATTAAAGCACATTTACATGCATGTTTCACTATTAAAGACCTAGGTAAGTTGAAATACATTCTTGGTCTTGAATTTGCCCATTCTGATAAAGGAATCCATATGTGTCAAAGAAAGTATGCCTTCGACATACTCAATAACACAGGGATGTTAGGCTGTAAACCAGCAACAACACCCTACATTATAATTAAGTAAATCTTCTAATGATCATGTGTCTTTATCTGACCCTTCTGAGTATAGAAGATTAGTTGGAAGATTGTTATATCTTACTATAAGCAGGCCTGACATTGCATTTGATGTTCAATCTTTAAGTCAATTCATGTCTAGTCCATCTCAGATTCATATGACTGCAGCTTACAGAGTGTTAAGGTATGTGAAAAACACTCTTGGCAAAGGTATATTGTTCCATAAACACTCCTCTTTCAATTTTACTGCATATTCAGATAGTGACTGGGCATCTTGTGTTGACACAAGAAAGAGTGTCACTGGATATTTAATTTTCCTTGGTGATTCTCTTATATCTTGGAAATCCAAGAAACAGCCCACAATAAGTAAGTCCTCTGCAGAAGCAGAGTACAGGGCTTTGGCTTTCACCTCCTGTGAAATCCAATGGTTAATATCCTTATGCAATGAATTGGGTTTCAAACTTAATGCTCCTGTTTCTCTATTTACAGATAGCAAATCTGCATTAGCCATGGCACAAAATCCTGTCTTCCATGAAAGGACTAAACACATCGAGCTTGACTGTCACTTGATCCGAGAGAAAATTTCCAAAGGCTTGATTCAACTTCATCACATTTCCACCAAAGATCAACTGGCAGACTTCCTCACAAAGCCCTTACCAGGCCCTGCATTCCAGCACCTTCTTTCCAAGATTAGCATGCCAAATATACATGCTACTCTTGCGGGGGGTGTTAACATATAGGATAATTGAATATTTGCAATAGGCATAGTTGTTATTTGTAATAGTTGTTATTTGTAATAGCACCTTTAGTATTATTTTCCTTTAGCACCTCTTCATTGTTTAACACTATATATACCTTGTAACAGCAAACCCTAAACTAGTTGTTGTCATTTTTATTTTTCGATCTAATATAGAAATCTTTCCTCTCTCTCGTTCTCTCGTTCTTCCTCTTCAATCTCCA